CAGTTAGACAAATTGAGTTAACGATACGGTGTGGAAGAAGAAGAAGGGGAGGGGGTGGAAAGAGAAAGAGAAGTCTGATTGACGTTCAACGAATTGCGAAATTGTTCCGCTTATTATGTTGTTAGTTTTGTTCGTTTCCTCGTCGAATTTCTTCTTTCCAGGCGGTGCCTATCTTCCAAGAAGAAATTATTAAATTCGCGAAACTGGAGGCGAACGAGATTTCGACGATTATTAACACACGGGAATAACAAATGTGATGCAAGAAGTTGATGCATGACTGCATCGTACTGGCACAGTTCATTGGTTGATGAGCTTTGTCTGACGTCACGCGTAATCTCTTTCAACCTACTATTTTTAATTTTACGCTCACACCCCTGAAACACTTTCATCTTTCCCTCCCGAGATTTCAACTCCCGACGCTTCTTCCTGTTCTTGGAAACAAAATCAATGACTCTGTTTATCAAAGGAGTTTTGCTGTGTGCCGTTAATGCCTCTCTTCCAATTCTTCTTCTTCTTCTTCTTTTTTTTTCTCTTTTAACCAACGTCCAAGCGTACGATTTGACGTAAGAAGAAGAAAGAAAAAAAAGTTCCTCTTGAAATAGACGCGATAACGGAAGCGCATTTATTTCTTCTTCTTCTTCTTCTTCTTTGTTTCGACGTTTAAACACGTCTCGTGCACCTTTTTTTCCCCTTTCGCCGTCAAAAACGGATCACGATGATGAAGTCAACCTTTATGAAAAATAACGATTGTCGCGTGTTTGGTAGGGAGTCGATCTGTTGCGAAGGGATGTAAGATAAAAATACGATTTAGGGGTGAAGTTTGAAAAAAGTGAAGTCTAGGCATTTTAATCTCCTCTCTATTTATTCTTATACAGGAGATCCGGCTGAATAATGTATACAGAGAAAAAAAGAAAAAAAAAAAAAATGGAATAAAATTTTTCTCTATTCCAAAGAGAAAATCATGTTTGAAAACTCCTTAAAATTAAAAATTGGTTAATTTTTCAATTTGGTATTATGCGAGTGAATTATCGATGAGAGATTATTAAGAGAAAATACAATAAAATTGTTTTTTGAGAATTAATAAGAGATCGAACGTATACCAGAAAGAAATTGTAGAATCGACGATTTTTAAAACGATTTGCGTTTTCGAAAATTTTTAAACGGAATTAAATTAAAATTAATTCTATATTTTTCTGTTTATTCCATATTTCGGATTAACTTTTTATCTGAATATAATTCATTCTGTACGGAATTGGAAATTAATTCAATTTCACCTGTAATCGAAAAATTTTCAATCTCGATTTTCTCAAAAATTGAAGGCGAAAAAAATTTGTTTTATTTTTCCTTTCTTCATAAAGAATCGTCCGTTCGTACATGTTATTTAGCCGGATATCTGTATACATACCTCATTTGTTAATTGAATTTTAACACACGTAATTAAAATAGAGATCGCGCAATATTTTCGTTCTATCGTTCGAGATTAATTTTGATCCGAGTAAATATGTACCTACTTGACCAAATAAATTTATAATAGATTTAATGAGAATTAATCTCCTCGCGTTTCAAAGAGATTAAGTATTTGATAATATTGGAATAAAATGAATTTCAATCAACACAAGAGACACGAATAAACGTAGAAAATTTACGTCCCCCCATGCTTTTTAATTATGATTCCTATTTTTCATATATTTGCTTTGCGCTTTACGGTTGCAAAAGTATTCATATTCGTGTTTTGAAAAATCTTTTACTTCGATTTTTTTAAAAACGAAAATTTTTATGCATAAGAAGCAATTTATTTTTCTCGAGAGAAATTCTCGTCACGTCTCGTGTCTGAAAATCGACCTTCAAAATTTTCACCATTTTTTTCCCCCTCCCCTTCTTCCTTTTATATATACAATTTCCACTGAAAATATTTTTCACGATAGGATAATAAATATTAATCTCGAGTATTTTTATCCATTTGCATCTCTATATTAATCTCTAAATATATTCCATGTTTTATTAAAAAAAAAAAAAAAAAATAAGAAAATAATACACCGAATAAAATACCGAAACTTTGAAGTTTCATTTTATCCCCTCGAAGCGACATTTCATTAATAAAAAGAAATAAACAATACCTACGTGTGTTTCGCCCATTATTTTCTTCATTTAACGAACACAATTAATTAATTCGAATACTTTTGCCGAAAACTAACATTGTAAACAACAATTTCCAATATTTATACGCGTAAAATTATCTTTCGATCGTACATTATGCAGGTGCTGTAACGAACACGTGTAAATCGATGATCACGAGAGAACGACAGCGTTTACGATCAACACATCATGCTGCTAAAAGCGGCGTAAACGCTATATAGTTTCACTCTGGGTCTGGACAAAGACTAATGGAATCGATAGAGTTGCGCGTATCACGCGTTAAACGCGTTTTAGATTAATCCAAGAAAACTTGTGAACGAAGCGAAGAAAACTGTTCTTTTAGAAGCAATTGGCACAGTTGAAAGATCGGCAGACGGATCGGCTGTTGGTTGAATTTACGCCGCGTAAATAAAAAGGTTCTTGTTGCAAACTTCTCTAAATTCGTCGCGAGAAAAGCCCGTAGTCCAAGTAAGTAAATAATGGAGGAGGAGGAGGAGGAGGAGGAGCGGCGGCTGGCGTAAAAATAGCCGGCGGACCACGAGGACTGCATTTTAAATAAATATAGATTATTACGAGTATATATATATATATATATGGATAGAAGAAAATTTACATGGAAGGAAAACAAACAGGGAGGAAAACATTGTGAATATATGCGAAAATCGTAACGCAACGGTGTTTATTACATAAACGGCGCGACAGGCGTTAATTTTTACACGATTGGACAAAAATATACCGGTGCACATACATTTGCATCTTTCTTTTAAACAGCGGAAGATAAAAGGAGATAGAAATGTTTAATTCGATTTCGATTTTGCAAATTTTCTTCCACGGTCGAAAAATATGAAATTAACGGTTAGGCCGGTTATCTTTAGACACGATGTTGCATTAAACCGATCAAACAGCGGTATTATGGGCAAGGTAAAAGGTTTAAACGATTTATCTCGAATATTTCTTCTCTTCTAATCGGTCGGTTTTAATAGCACGTGCAAATTTTTAAATCGATAAAAAACGAAACGAATGAATTGCGTTTTTCAAAATAAATCGAACGAAATTTGACAATAATCTACCCGCTTGTGGAACAGGTACAGATAGGGGACGGATATTTAAAAAAAAAAAGAAAAGGAAAAAAAACTGTAAGCCCGTTTCAGAGTGACGATTTTCACGTTTACCGATCGTTAATTGAAAAGCGATAACTGCACGCATCGTAATTTCCATATAGCCATATATTTCACCGATAACCGCAAAATAATTAAGTGGATACGACGAGGGTGTGTTGCTGTAGCTATTGCGGTTAATGTGGTTCAATTTATGTTCTATTAGATACGTTGAACGGTGTGTATTTAGCATTTATTATTTATTACGGAGACACTCTTCATTTTATTTTCTATTCTATCTGTGTCGACGAGTGTGAGAGAGAGAGAGAGAGACGTGTAAAAAGTAAGTCTCATTCTTAAGATTTCTATTTTTTATTTTTTTATCGAACGTCAATTTAATTGATGACAATTAATCGTGAATTAAAACTTGATGTTCACACCCATCTTGCGCGTATATCGTTGATTCTGATTAGCAACACGTGTTTTTCGACGTATTCTTCCAAGTGTTGCTCGATGATGAATAATGAAATAACAGTATACGTTGCGAGCACGTGTCGTTCTTCACGATGTGTAATTATAAAGTGGCTTGATCAAATTCGAAATTATCGTATTGAAATGGGAAGAAAATCTAGCGGTATATTCGTATCGACTTGTTTTCAATACAGTTTAAGAA